GTGCGTAGTATATATATATATTTTGATGAATGACGTACTTAATATGCTTGATGCAGTTTGTGGCAATATGAGGAGTATGATGATTGCGTGACGTTTACCTTAATATGATGATGTTTTCCATATTGAGCATGTTGTATGACGATAAATGTCATATTGCATCATGTCGTTAGATCGACATGGGACACAACCCTAAGAGCATGAAAATGATATTAATATAAATATCCACGAGTGTGTGTTACCTTGAGTAACAAAGAGATGAGACTAGAGGGTTCTGTCAGAAGAGACATTATGATGGATTTAGAGGGACCTCATGTATATTGTATGTTCATAAGCATAGGGCTACTTCCCCTAGAGATGATGAGTGTGGATGCGCACAGTATGATGATGAGTGCGAATGCGCACAGATGAGGATGTTCATGAGCCGCATGACACTATGGGGTTTCATTGACCTTCGGACGTCGCTAAAGATTAGCTTGACCAGAGGGTTCAGGGGGTGTGCGAGCACCCTGGGGATTCACACTCGCACGTATGAATCGTGTGTAGGGAAGTACTACACATCCAATTTGTCCGAGACTGGAGGCCACCTTATGATGATTAGAGATAGGTCCCTAAATCATGATTGCATGTGTTTGCATTTGCATAGACCCCTATAGTGGGGCCACTTACTGAGTATTCTTCGAAATACTCAGACTGTGTGCCACATCATTTTTCAGGTAAAGGCAAAGCGCACTTGTATGGAGGGCAGCGACATCGCGAGTAGAGACTGTAGCACGTACATAGGGTAGACTCATATTTAAATTCCTAGTGTTAAATTAGAATAGGTTGTTTTGCATTTAATTGTTTTAAATTATTTTGTATTTGTTTTTATTTTTTTTCAAGTATTTTGTATTTAAATACGTAAGATCATGACTGTGTTTTTCAGAGAAGAAGTTGTTTTAAGCCGTTTTCAAAGTTTAAGTTATAAATGATGTTCATGTAAGAGTTATATTTTCTCATTAGTAATGAGCATGAGAAGTTAGTAGCGACTCTGAGTATGTGGAAACTTAAGGCCGTTATAGCCGCTGAATACATATCATAAACATTGAATGCAGAAATAATTCATTGAAACTTTCATAAAACATCACCTTCATCTTAAAACACAGCCGACATGGACTTACATGTTTTGAAAACACCTTTAAAACGACAAAAAAAGACTAAATAAAATAAATAAACATTTAAATTAAAAACATCTTATTCTAGCCTAAGTCTAAGAAAATAAATGCGACTACCCTATGCATGTGTCATGGTCTCGAGTTGCGATGTCGTCGTCAGCCGTACGAGAATGCCTTGCCTTAATCTAAAACAGAAGTAGCACGTGGCTTGAGTATTTAAAGAAATACTCAGTAAGTAACCGCACTATTGGGGTTAAATGCAAGAACATGTGAATGCAATGACGAGACCTATCATAATAGTTTGTTTTCCTATGGTACTATCCTAACGGGCAACTTGGATGTGTACTTTATACTCTACACACGACCCACATGTGCAAGTGTGGACCCACCAGTCTGTTCGCACTCCGCTGGGCCGCTTTTCTTGTCTGGCAAGCGTACTCTGTTAGCTCTCTATACCATACACTCGTTAGAAGTAGTAGCCATCATGACGACATTATGTTAAACATAATGATCGTTCTCCTGCTTAGTGTATGGGTTCGTACCATCGTGAAGGAATAGGGGTATCCCCCAATGTATGAGCACACAATAATGCATGAGGTCCCAATATTTTTCCATTTTCATTATTATTTAATACAACCTCGCTATGTTCTGTACATATCATATCATCATTCATATCATTTCTCATATCATTTATCATATCTTTCATGCAGATGTCAGGGTTGTATTTCATGCTAGTTTGTCGTTTTTCATGTCAATCATATCATATCATATCATTTAGATTACATAAATATGTCATATCGTAACATCACATGCTTCCAGACATAACAATTTTCATCATATACATATCATACTATAACGTATTGCATCACAAAATCTCACAAATCATTTCGTTTCATGAATGTATCCTAGTCTTACTGTTATAGGAACATATCCTAACCATATCTTTCTATTAGTCTATCATAATCATATCCTAACCATATCTTTCTATTAGTCTATCATAATCGGATCCTAACCATATCATTCTATTAGTATGTTTATTGCATCCTTCTCGTATCCTATCTCAAACATGTCATTGAGCACATCGTACCATAAGTATCATCATACAATTCACATATCATAACATATACACATCGTATCATCATCATATCGATTCGTACACAATTCACACATATCAATATATATATGACACATACAGAACCACGGATCATGTGTCAACATCAAATATAGTCATGCCAATAATAAGGCCACTTATTTGGATGACCTTAGTTGAAGTTTTAACACTAACTCCAAATTATCTTGCTTTCGTCCCTCGAATTCGTTCTCACTTAAGTATTTAATAAATTCTTAATCTTTCCTTTAGATTTAATGTTTCTTAGGATATAAACATGTCTATCAATACAATGCCCACTGACATACCATTTATTAGATACTATAGTTTCATTATTATATTACTTTGTTCCCAGATATTCTTGGCCAATTTTTAATCTATTCATTTGGCCACGGATATAAAATTACTGATCTGACATTACTCATAATTAGTGATATGACATTACTGATTGATGTAATTTACTAAAATTCGTATAAAATGATTGACATCTAATTTCTAACTCAAACCTAAACAATTGCACTAGCTTAAGAAGATCTAACCTATTATTGGGATGTGATTTCCTAAAAATGAAATTAGGATAAAAGGAAGGGAAGATTTAACATATACCTTAATAAACTTCTTCACATAAATCTTCCTCTACCTCTCTTCGATCTGCCTCTACATGTTAAGGTCATTTTAGTTTTTCTCAAATCTAACATTTGGTTGTTTTTCTGTTTCTTTTTTGAGGAACTCATATTCTTGGATAAAAGGTGGCTTGAGAGAGAATTTAGAAATGGATGACATTAGTGGAGAGGAGTAAGGAAGAATTGTTTTTTTGTTTCTTTTTTATTATTTTTTTAAAATGTAACCTTTTTATAATTATTTTTATTTGTATATTTCTTTGTTTATTTAGTTATTATTATTTTTTGTTATTAAAATTATTTTTATTTGTATATTTCTTTGTTTATTTAGTTATTATTATTTTTGGTTATTACAAGCCACAGGCCTTGTCCCATGCCGTTTGAAGCGCAAGCGAGGTGTGGCCTTGTCCCATGCCGTTTGAAGCGCAAGCGAGGGGTTGATCTTCCCATTGGGCTTGGCTCCAAGACTAACAATATCATTAAAAGGAAATAAGAAGCTTTTAAAGTTTCAAAATGAGCCATAAGAAAACTAAATTGTTCAAGTATTTGTGATAAGTTAGAGGAGAAGAAAAGGAAGTAACTCACCTGGAAGAAATGTGGAGTGATATTTATAGGCTAATTTTTCCTCCCGTCGGTATTAAGTACTTAGAAGATCATTAAAAAATTCAATATAAAACAAAAATTATAATTGTAAAACTGAATTTAATAATATGGGAAGAACTTATATTCAAAGATAATGACTATAAATTATAATAAAAGTATATCATAAAAACTCACAATATCTACATTTTATATGGTGAAGTACCAACATTTGTGAATCTTAGACATTAATTAATTTCTCAATTTTTATATATTTAAAGTTTGTTTTGTTTTTGTAACATCCGAAGCCCAACAGGTACAATTTGCTCCATCGTAACTAACACCTTCTTAATCATTGTGAGTTTCTAGATTTTATTGGAGGACTTAGAGTGTAATTTTCAAATCGATGCAGAAGAAAGAAATGGTTGGGATGCATTAAGGAACTTAGGAAAAAAAAATGGTAATGTAATTGAAATTTGGGTCAAAGTCAACTGGAGGTGAAAAAGTAATTTTGCCCCCACTCATACCACCTTGAGGGGTCTGGACAGACCTGGAAGAAAGGAAAAGGAGAAAAATAAAAATAATAAAAGAGAGAGAGAGAGAAATGAACAGTTATGGTTTTTAAGAATAGGAAGGAGGGAGAAAAGTCCCGAACGTGAAGCACTCTCAATCTTAGTTTTCATACTAGAGCTACTTAGAGTATCAAGAGCAGTGGTCTGAGTATTGGAACGTTTATTTTCGGTAAGAAACGGGCAAGAACGCAAGGTAAGTCTGCGACCTCTCTTGTTTCAAGATTTCACCATAGATCCGGGAGTTTTAGATGATTTAAACCTTAATAATCCAGTTGCAACACTCTAGGTGAGGAGTCTTGTAAGTTTTAAGAGGAAACGCAGCAAAAAATCACGTCGAAAAATAAAATTGAGAAACCGTCCTACTTTAGTAAGAAACTGAATTTTTCTCAGTTTTCGACTTCATTTATTAAGCGCTGTGAGTATAAAAAAAAAAAATACAATAAAAATATATCTGCATAGGTGGACTTGAGATCTTGAATTCTTATGAAGGAATCAATTTAATTCGAGTTACGTCTTGGAAGATAGAAAAATCCAAATAAATAGGTTGATATAGAATTTGACCGAAATCTGGAAATTGGATGAACTCAGGAAATCGGTGACAGACACGCGGCCGCCAAAACGGGAGGACACGCGTCGAGCAACTGGTGGAGAGACGCGTCTGGCGCCTTCGTTGACACGCGTCCGACGGTTGACCCGAAAACCCGACTTGCGCTCCGTGAAGCACCCCGACGACCTGCGGTCCAGCCTGAAACCTACCGTTGTACAACACGTATCACGCCCAGAAAATTCGAGTGGTAAGTCTACGTCCGCTGGGGCTCGAAACGCACCTCTACTGCGTTAACGCCGCGCGTGGGGAAGTGTGCAGGCGCGTGGGAGTCCCCTATGAGCGCGTGCAAGCGCGTGAGTGCCCTGTTTTCACCCATTTTTCGTCCTAGTCCAATGCTAATCTTATTTTACTGTGAACTAGGTCTCTATATAGATAATTCGTAATTTTTGGACTCCGTTACGACTGTAATCAAGCTCGGGAAGGCACGCGACATACTTGTAAGTAACCATACGGATTTAGGAAGTAATATTTGTAGAGTGCGCTTGGTTTTGCATGCATGCTAGAGCAAATTACCAGTAGGTGGCTAGACCTAGTGAGATTTTGTACTCGTTGTTTGTATGCTTGCTAGACTATCTTACTACTGTTTTTATTTGTTCATACTATGTTGGCGGACGGGAGAATTTGTGTATCTGCGCTCCGGGTGTTGATGGATGTTACATTGAGCTTGTAACATGTTTGTATGATTGAGCTTGGCTTGTCATGGACGGGAGAATTTGTTTGTAACATGTTTGTACATTGAGCTTGGCTTGTCATGGACGGGAGAATTTGTTTTGCATGCATGCTAGAGCAAATTACATTGAGCTTGTATGATTGTATGCGTTGTTAATCATACATAAACTCCTCTTGAATGATTGTGTGAACTTATGATATGATTGATAAGTTGTAGTGTTGTGATATGCCTAGGGTGAACTCTTGTAGGGATTGAGTTTGGTTTAGGTAAGGGACCCTCCTGATGTTACGGTCTATGGTGTCGTGAGTGACGTTTAGATGGAGTGACCCTTTAACCCTAGACTGTTATAGACTTGGGAGTCTTGATTGAGTGAATCTGGAAGCCAGGTGTCACAGTCATGCTCGTCCAAGGCGTGTTGCCCATGGCCGCATGCCCATGACAAGCCAAACCCTTGTCATGTCTTTTCATTCTAGTGTTTTTCCTTCTGTAGTTCTAGGACGTATGATGCCTAAAAAATATCATGTCTAGGCCTGCCAGACATAAAATGGCTCAGAATGTACTATAGGGAGATATGACTAGTTGTCAACTTCTCCCTACCCAAGGTTATATATGCTAAGTCGTTGTTATCTTTCTCTTGCTTGCTTATATAACGTCTCTTTCTAAAATCTCTCTCTCTCTCCTCGTTTTCTAAAACCTTCTTTTAAAACCGAGGCTAGAGACTCGATCATACGTCGCTTGGCCGTAGGCCACGCAAGAACAAATTGGCTTAGCTCACTTGTCGTTGGAAAGTGAGTGCCACACAATCGCTAGTCCGCTGCCTTCGAAAGTGCGATTGTGTCAAGTGGTATCAGAGCTTTGCTAGCTCCATAACATCGTAAAGACCGAAATCATGTCGGCGACAAAGTCGACACCCAAAGCAAAAGCCGACCGGCTTACGCTAATAGAGGAGGAAATGCTGTTCCTCAAAGAAGTCCCTGACACCCTCCGCTTCCTGGAAGCACGAGTGACCGAATTGAGTGGAAAAGTCGTAGAAATCGATGCAATGGGCAACCGCCTGGATGGGTTGCCAATCGCAGAACTGATGTTTCGAGTGACCTCGCTCGAAGAAAGAGTTGCTCCTACGAGCAGCCCAAAACCGTCTGGTAGTCCGGATAGCGCACAAAGAGGGATGTGACGAAGAGTTCGACGTGCTACAGAATACAATGATGAGCTTGTTCAATGGATTAGCTGATGAATTCAGAACAACCATCGACGACATCCAAGAAAGGATGGCCTCCATGAGCACTCGAATTGAAGTGACCATGAAAGCCGTGGAGAACGTCACGGCTGGGCAAACTAATGCAGGATCCAACAAACTAAGGTTCCCAGACCCTAGAGCCTTCAAAGGAAATCGGGACGCCAAGGAGTTAGAAAACTTCATCTTTGATATCGAACAGTACTTCAAAGCCACAACTGCTTGTACTGACGACAAGAAGGTAACTGTAGCCTCGATGTATCTCATAGACGACGCCAAACTGTGGTGGCGTACGAAAGTGCAAGACATCGAGGATGGATTGTGCACCATCGACTCATGGGAGGACCTCAAGAAAGAGTTGAGGGAACAATTCCTCCCCGAAAACACAGGACATATAGCAATGGAGAAAATAGTAGCCCTGAAACATACTGGAAATATACGAGACTATGTGTCGATGGTGGATATCAGAGGCACAACAGAGAAGGACAAGGTGTTCTTCTTTATAAATGGGTTACAGCCGTGGGCCAAAACAAAGCTACATGAGAACAAGGTCCAAACCCTAGCTGCCGCAATGGCCTGAGCCGAGAGACTCCTAGACTGTGGGAACGAAGCGGGATCCCAAAGAAGAACGACACCGGCCCCAAACACTGGGGGCAAAACATACAAGCCACCAGGTTATCGAAATGGAAGCCCCAACAGACCGAACGGAGGTAACAACAGATTAAGCGGATGGACGGATAGACCTCCTTAGAACAATCAAGCAGGCACATCTCGAGGATCTTACCATCAAAGGAACCACCCAACGACACCTTTACAATGCATGCTATGTAAAGGTCCCCACAAAGTATCCTACTGTCCTCATCGGGCCTCTCTCACTGCGCTCCAAGTGTCTATTCAAGAGAGCAATGACGCAAGGGTCGAGACTATGCTAGACAAGAAGGAAGATCACGACAATCCTCGAATGGGCGCGCTTAAATTCTTGTCAGCCCTCCAACGGAAAGTCGAACCGAAGAAGATAATAGAGAAAGGGCTCATGTTCATAGATGTGACAATAAATTCTCGACCGAGCAAGAGCACTCTGATAGATTCAGGAGCGATCCACAACTTCATTGCCGATCAAGAAGCCCGAAGATTGGGACTCGCCATAGGAAAGGACCCGGAGAAAATGAAAGCTGTTAACTCCGAGGCCTTGTCTATTGTGGGAGTTTCCAAAGGAGTCCCCTCAAAATAGGGGATTGGACAGGACAGCTAGATCTTCTCGTGGTTCGCATGGATGACTTCGACGTGGTACTTGGGATGGAGTTCCTCCTAGAACACAAAGTCATCCCAATGCCACTGGCGAAATGCTTGGTAATCACCGATCGCAACCCCATAGTAATACCTGCAAGCATCAAGCAACCAAGTAATCTTCGAATGATCTCGGCCATACAACTGAAAAGAGGACTCGCACGAGAGGAACCTACATTCATGGTCATACCACTGATGGAAGAAGTGACCACCAAAGAAACTGTCCCAGAAGAAATCAAGGAAGTACTAAACAGTTATGCCGACATAATGCCATAGAGCCTACCCCAAACACTACCACCTCGTCGAGGCATTGACCATGAAATCAAACTCCTCCCCGGGGTTAAACCGCCAGCGAAAAACGCATACTGGATGGCTCCGCCCGAACTAGCCGAATTGAGGAAACAACTGGATGAGTTGTTGAAGGCGGGATTCATTCGCCCGACAAAGGCACCTTACGGAGCCCCCGTACTGTTCCAGAAGAAGAAGGATGGGACGTTACGTCTGTGCATAGACTATAAAGCCTTAAATAAGGTGACGGTACGCAACAAATATCCGCTGCCGATAATATCCGACTTGTTCGACCAACTTCATGGGGTCAAGTACTTCACGAAGTTGGACTTACGATCAGGGTATCACCAAGTACGTATTGCCGAAGGGGACGAACCCAAGACGACATGCGTAACAAGATATGGGGGCTTCGAATTCCTAGTAATGCCCTTTGGCTTGACAAACGCCCCAGCTACTTTCTGCATGTTGATGAACCAAGTTTTCTACGAATACTTGGATCAGTTCGTCATAGTATACCTCGACGACATAGTTGTTTACAGCACAACCCTAGAGAAACACAAAGTTTACTTGAAGCTGGTGTTTGACAAGCTGCGGCAGAATCAATTGTATGTGAAGAAAAAGAAATGTGCATTCGCACAAACATGCATCAACTTCCTTGGACATGTCGTCAAATGTGGACAAATTAGTATGGATAGCGACAAGATAAATGTTGACTCTGGCAAATCGGATGTCGACGAAAAAATTGGCCGAAGGTTTCTTCGAAGGAAAAATTAGCGGAAGTAGAAGGAGAGAGAAAGAGATTCGCTGATAATGCTGAAGACTCGATGTTTTTTATTTTACATCCGTTGAATGGTTTAAATAATAAATCTAATTACAAAAATAGAAAAACCAAATATACAAAAATAGAATAAGTGGACGAAGACTTCGCCCACTCTGCCAAAACAATGGCCCCTAGAATCACGCTCCTCCATTCGCGTGAACTCATATGTTTTTACAAACCTAACTAAATAAGGCAGAGCTTTTATTTAACAATCTCCTCCTAAAAGCTGTACCTTATTATTTGAACTCCGATCTTTGAGCGTAGTTCTTCAAATTTCACCCGCGCCAGGGACTTGGTGAAAATGTCTCCAAGTTGTTCCTCTGTTCGGATGAAATCAATCTTGATGAGCCCTCGATCTGCACATTCTCGAATGTAGTGGAATCTGATTTCTATGTGCTTGCTCCGGTCGTGCAAAACTGGATTTTTGATCAGGGAGATCGTAGCTTTGTTGTCTACGTATAGCATTGGTGGATCGCTTTCTCTCCCGATGAGTTCTTCCATTAGTCGTGCAAGCCAGATCCCTTGAGTTGCTGCCATCGAAGCGGCGATGTATTCTGCTTCGCAGGAAGGCAAAGCAACTACCTTCTGTTTTGTTGATTGCCAGCAGATCGCGCCGCTTGAGAGAAAGTAGATCATTCCGCTGGTGCTCTTACGATCATCAACGTCACCGGCCATGTCACTATCGCTGTAGCCGACCAGTTTGAGTTTCTCCTTTTCGCTCCTAGCGCAGTATCTTACGCCCCAGCCTTTGGTTCCGGCTACATAGCGCAGGATGCGCTTGACAGCCACTAAACCTGCTCACATATCCAAAAGAATAAGCAAGATCAGGACGAGAGTTTACCAGATAGCGCAGACTCCCGACAATGCTGCGGTAATTGGTGGAGTCGACTGTCGTCGTAGTGCCGGCCTTCCTTAGTTGAAGTCGGGCCTCCATTGGCGTCCTGGTAGGATTACTGTCCACAAGCCCAGTTGTGTCCAGCAGCTTCCTCGCGTATGCACTTTGGCAGATGGAGATGCCGGAAGAGTTCTGTTGCACTTCGATGCCGAGGTAGTAGCTGAGCACATCGAGATCGCTCATCTTGAAGTTTTTCGACATCTCCTTCTTGAACCTTCCGAGGACTCCCACGTCGCCTCCAGT